CTGAGGTGCACCTGCTTCAGCTGGCTTCTCTGCCCAAACTCTTTGCTACCATTGTCTTGGCTTCTCAGTACCCTAGTAGCGTTTTTGGATGGATACATACTGTTATCTCCTCAGCTTTTCAGTTGCCTGTTCTTTTCCTTCCTAATCAGAAACCGACCAGAGGGCAAAGTGTTGGAGACTGTCGGTGTGTTTGAAGTGCCAAAACAGAATGGCAAGTATGAGACTGGCCAGGTGAGTATTAGGCTGGGTCATCGTCCATTTTCATGGACTGCTCTGCTTCTGTAGGAAGTCAGATTTGGTCACAGGCGTGAATGGACAGTGTGGCTTTCCGCTCATTCCACCTTGGTGTTTGGTGCCCGACCAGAGTCGCACATTTTTAAGGTGGGAGTGCTTATTTTCCTGGATTTGGATGCATTTATTGTGCCAGTGGGTTCTCTTTCCAAGTGAGCATGGACAGGGATGGTTTGACTACAGTGAGGAGAAAACCAAGTTGTTGATGATTCTTCTAATGTAGCGGGTGGTGGGAGCTTTCAGAAAAGCAAACTTTTGCTGTTTCATCATCAAACAGATTGCAGTGAGGTGAACTCTGGCTGCATCAGCTTTCTTCCACGTCCATTGACAGAGATTTAGGCCCCTTACGGGGAAGGCAGACTTTTTCTTTATTCAACTTTTTCTGTGTGTAAAATGGGCCAGGCACTGCGCATTAGGATTAAATCAGAGAGCAAGGTAGATGCGGTTCTTGCCTTTGTGGCATTTATAGTCTAGAAAGGAATAAGTAATGTGTGTGTGGTCAGTGGCCATACGCCATGCTAAGTGGAAAGGATGCTGAGGAGGGCATAGTGGAGGCTTAAGCTGTGGCCTGGCAGGTGAGTAGAGTCAGCCAAGTGAAGAGGGCATAAGAGCATTTCAAACTTCGAGGGGAAAGGTGGTAAGACCAGGGGTGATGTCGTCTTCCGCTGCGTAGCTTTGTGACCTGGGCCCACCTGGTGGGTTTGCTGCCTGTGGGCTCACTGTACCTCTCTTTCCTTCTAGCTTTTCCTTCATAGTGTTTTTGGCTACCGAGGTGTCGTCCTGTTTCCCTGGCAGGCCAGACTGTATGACCGGGATGTGGCTTCTGCAGCTCCAGAAAAGTAAGTTTCCCTGTCGTTGGCTTCACAGTATCCTCAGGAGGAGGCCTGGCTCGTGGCAGACATACGTAATTGGGGTCCCAGAGGTGAGCACAACATCCTCTTGGACCTCAGAAACAGCCCTGGAGTATTTGTCTGGCACTCATACCCATGGAGACAGGCATGCTGAGTGCCAGAGGCAGTCTTAGGCTAAAGGGTCCCTTCAGAACTTCCCAGAATGCTCTACCGAGCTAGTCTCAGTTTTCATGACGAATACCTCAGAGGGCATCTGGGGGACCAGTCTTTTTGATTTCTTGATGTTCAGTTGGAATCTTTCCCTTAATCTCACATTATCACTAAAGTACATTAAAAAAGAAAAGGTCTAGTAGCTCCATTAAATGATCACAGATAGCCTCTGTGATGTGAGAAGAGTAGGGTACTTTGGGCCTTGGAGACTGAAGTGGCAATCTGATTTTCTCACCATGGATCCCTTCTTCTAGCAGTTCTGCCACAGGTGCCCAGGCCCACTGTTGGCTCTTGCTGGAGAATGGCTGGCTGGCATGTGGCTGGGCAGTCTCATCACTGGTGCAGCAGCCCCTGTGGGTCAGGGATCAGGGTTTGCGTGAGTACGTGGGAGGGAACAGAGTCAGAACAGTCTCCATTTTTCTCCAGTTGATCTTGGGCTTCTTTTCCCACCCACAGAGCCGAGAACCCTGCTGGCCATAGCTCAAAGGAAGTGAAAGGCAAAACTCACACTTATTATCAGGTGCTGATTGATGCCCGCGACTGTCCACACATAGTAAGTAAGCAAGATGGCTGGGCCTGGGTCTTCTCCAAGGGAAAGGCTCATATCCCACTGGAGACAGAGAGGGAATGGGGCCAAACAGAGCTCAGATTAGCTCTGGGCTCAGAGGCCCCAGGACCGTCAGTGGCCAAGAAAACCCCTGATTTACTTCTTGCTTTAGTCTCAGAGATCTCAGACAGAAGCTGTGACCTTCTTAGCGAACCATGATGACAGCCGGGCCCTCTATGCCATCCCAGGTGAGTGGTTAGCATCCAAATGGTGCCTGTTGGAGAGGGTCTGGTGTGTCTTGGAGAGATTCTGACGTGCTGTCATATGCTGGGAGATGGGAGTTTCATGTCAGCTGCATTCCTCTTCAGTCCTGTGAGTTTCACTGTGTTTCTTTGCCTCGCTCTGCCAGGCCTGGACTATGTCAGCCATGAAGACATCCTCCCCTACACCTCCACTGACCAGGTTCCCATCCAGCATGAGCTCTTCGAGAGATTTCTGCTATATGACCAGACAAAAGGTAGCGACACTTGAGAAGGGAAGCCGGAATGTGGGGTCCCTTTCTTCATAGAAACCATCCCAAAGCTTTAGCATCCCAACCTGTTCAAGCTCCAGTTGGACTGTCGGATGGATGGCTATTATCTCCTTCCAGATACGGAAACTGAGGCTCAGGGATGAGAAGACTCAAGGTTGCTAGTAGTAGCAGAGCGAGATCTGAGAACTGGGGTCTTTACTCCCAGCCAGTTCTCTTCCCACGAAGAGAGTCCCACCACCTCCTCAGCGCTTACACTTGGTAGTCCCTCTGTGCCTTCTTCCAGCCTGTACTTTTGTACTTTGGTGGGTGTCCTATTCACCTGGGCCACGGATGGAGAGGGTTTTTTCCGAGGGGCAGTTGGAGAGTAGGTGCAATGCTCTGGACTCTGCCTCCACTAACCAGTTGTCTCTTGCCGCAGCTCCCCCTTTTGTGGCTCGGGAGACGCTACGGGCCTGGCAAGAGAAGAATCACCCCTGGCTGGAGCTCTCCGATGTCCACCGGGAAACAACAGAGAACATCCGTGTCACTGTCATCCCCTTCTACATGGGCATGAGGGTATGTGCTTGGCGTGGGGCCCTTCTTGCCAGACTTGGCCCCAGATTCAGTGTGATGTCCCCATGTCCCTGTGGTCCTATCCCAGTGCTGCAGGTGTTCGGTGGTGATGGCTGACACCAAGACCTAGAGCAAGGGAGGCTGCAGGTCTAGGATGGCGTCCTCCATGCCGACTCCCGCTGTCTGTGTCAGAATCAGTGTGGGCCGATCTTACACTTTCTACACATTAGTCAAATAGTTTTGCTGGGTCCTGGGGTACGCATGGAAGTGAAACACTGCCCCTGCCTCCAGAGGGCATGGCAGTGGGGAGGCAGTATGAGCACACAGGAGGTTACAGTGGGGGCTGTGGGAAGATGGGGCCGGCAGGGAGGGTGGTGGGAAAAGTACGTGCCCTAGTGCTTTGTTGTTGACCTTGGCAGGATGAGGAGGGATGCCAGGAATGGGCATGGGGAGGCCGCCTTGCTCTGGGTTCATTGGCCGCAGTTCATCATTATCCTGCAGATACTGACAGCTTGGTCTGGCTCTGCCACCTTCCTGGAATCCTTCACTCCCCCGGAGAGGTGTGAATTGGAACAGACTCTGTCTTGCCCTCTGGGACCTAAAGTCTTTGTGTGTTTTTTTTTTCCCCAGGAAGCCCAGAATTCTCACGTCTACTGGGTGAGTGTCTCCCTCAGGAGGGGAGCGCAGGAGGTGTGCTGTGGGTCAGGTAGGGAGGCTCGTGGTGGGGTGGAGGCTGTGCAATGTAGGTTGCAGCCTTTTGTTCTCCAGAGAATTCTAGGTGGGCTGGCCCAAGGTCTCTTGTTTCTCAAACATGAACTCTCCCCTCCACCTCCACAGTGGCGCTACTGTATCCGCCTGGAAAACCTTGACGGTGACGTGGTCCAGCTCCGAGAATGGCACTGGAGGATATTCAGTCTCTCTGGCACCTTGGAGACAGTGCGAGGCCGAGGGGTGGTAGGCAGGGTGAGCATCACTGGGCCAGCAGTGCTGTTTCTGGCCTTGCCCAGCAGAACTGTGGGCTTAGTGTGTGGTTTCTTCCTCTCCGTGGTGACAGCAGAGGCTCACTGTGCGAACATATTGGGTTGTTCAGGGTCAGAAACCTTAGAGGTTTTAGGGCCAGCAGGTGGTGTGGTGATTAAGGGTGCTGGACTCCCACATGGCCAAACATGGTCTGAGTCCCGGACCTGGCACCTTGCTTTTTCCCTTTCTCTCTCTCATTCTGTCCCTCTCTGGTCAAATTTAAATAAATAAATAAAGTTAAGTAAATTCTTAAAAAAAAAAAAAAAAAAACTTACAGATTTGTTACAACGCATTTCACAGATGGAGAGAGAATGAGACTGAGAAGTTAAATAGCCCATGGTCCATAACTGGTAGCGGCAGGGCCTGGGTTTAAATCCAGATGAATCTGAAGTCAAAGCTTGTGTAGCTTTTGTGAACTAGTGTGTCTTTCAGAATCCTGAAGCTGCATGCCCTTAGGTGAGGCACACCCCCTCCACTCCACTGTTTTGCCTCTGCCTCTGTATAAGTGTACATCTTCTGCTGTTCCCTCGAGACTGAGCTTGCAATGCCCATCTCCTGCGAAAGACACAAGCAGTACAGGTGCCCGATGCTGAGACCAGCACTTATCCTAGTCAGCAGGACTAGGGACTGGGGCGCAGGCTGGTAAAGAGAACGAGAGTCTCTTCGGATTCCAGACGTGTCATTTACTTGCTGCATAACTACATCGGGCAAGTTACTTAACCAACATCTCAGTTTCTTTCTTTCTTTTTTTTTTTTTTTTTTTTTATAAAAGGGCACACATGCTCACTAGAGAACATAGACAGAAGAGAACACCCCAGTGGGGCGTAGTCATGCCACAACCCCTTCTCCATTTCTCCATCCTGTTGAGATTTGGGGTGCCTGTGCGCACGTGTGCACACACACTTGGCATGTGTTTCAAGATGCTTGGGCTAGGATTCTAACTGCAATCGATCATGTGGGATCTGGCTCCCTTAACCACTATGGTGTGGGGCCGACCCCTATCTCTCCCTCTCTTCTGTAAGAGACAGAGACACAGTATCTCTAAAGGGCCTTGACATAGCCTCAGCCAGCCCCATATCGTGACCCACATGCCCAGTGTACTCAGGTCGCCTGGCGCAGACACAGATCCTTCCCATGTGGTCAGCCTCATGGAGTGTCATTACACTGCTGCACCACTGGCCCTCCAAACCTTAGTTTCTAACTGCTGAAATGGGGCTCACGCCTATTACATTACGGTTGCCTGGAGATTTAAATCAGCAAAGGTCTGTAAAGTACCTGCCCTGGTACCTGGCATCTAGCACTCATGAATGGACACTGGAAGGATATTTTCAGATGCCCTGAGGCATTCTGAAATCACCTTTCTGAGAGTTAGACTCAAAGTTCTGGCCATTGGCTATGCTGTGGTCCCTGGGGGAGTGCCTGCTGCAGTGGGGACTGGGGAACACTCAGCGATGAACAGGAAGGCAGCCCATAGTCCTGGGCGAGGAATGTGTCCCCAGGGCTTGGCCCGACCTTTTCTTCCTGAACCCTACAGGAACCAGTGTTATCTAAGGAGCAGCCTGCGTTCCAGTACAGCAGCCACGTCTCTCTGCAAGCTTCTAGTGGGCACATGTGGTGAGTGAGTGCATGCTGGGGCCGCGGCTACACAACTCTATAGGCATAAGCTGTGGGTCAGAGCTCTCAGCTCTGGTCCACTCTGGACCCGGTTTAGTCCTGAGATGGAGCCTTACCTGCTGTGGATTGTCACATGGGACTTACCTGATCTGTTTCCCAGCTCCCTACAATCTGTGGGCTGAGGAGCTGGTCCTCAGAGGTCTGGTGATTGATGTTACACTGCTTATGCAGCTGGGTTTCACTTGTGTCTCACTCCTTAGCCTGAAGATGCAGGCGGGTGGCTTATGCAGTGTACATCTAGGGACCAGAGCCTAGATGGCTGTGTTGCTCCTTTCCATGTTAGGGACAAGAGGGCCTTTCAGGTCTCCGGACCAGCTATCCCATCCTGAAATAGAAGAGACCCCAGGCCTGCCTCATCCTGCTGTGGCCCAGAAGCTGAGGGCATGGGGCCATCCAGATTCTCAGAAGGGCTGCAGCCTCGACCTCTAAACCAGCTTCTCTCTGACCCACAGGGGCACATTCCGCTTCGAGAGACCTGATGGCTCCCACTTTGATGTCCGGATCCCTCCCTTCTCCCTAGAGAGCAATAAAGACGAGAAGACACCACCCTCAGGCCTTCACTGGTAGGCCAGCTGAGACATTGAGTGCCCAGGCTTGGCCCTCAGAATAGCTCTCACCTCCCCATTGCTGCAGAACTCTTCTCTCTCCCCATCATGGGCCACAGTGGGTCTCTTGTTTGCGACATTTGGTTGTGGGTTTTTTCATGGAGGTTGGTGGTGTAACTGTTTTCTTCAGAAAACTCATGTAGGACTCCATGAAAGCTGGCCCCCTAAGCTCTGCCTACACCACGTTCCAGTAAACCTCTCCACTAAGGAACTGTTCAGCCGCCAGAGGCCTGGAGGAGTTTCCTGGCCTACCACACAAGTTGTTTGGAATGTAAGGTTTGGTCAATAAACCAGTGCACGCTTGGCCACCCTTGCCATTTCTGCCCACCTTGGGCCCTTGACTGTTCCCAAGCTGCCCTTTCAGAGAGCTACCTGCTCTGTGAGGATTTATGTCTGTGTCCTTCTGAGGCTGGAGGCCAGCTGGACAGCTCCCAGGGTCACTGTGCCTCTCTGCCAGTGGGTGGGCGCTGGACTGGACTCTCTTGTTCTCTTCTTTACCCTCTGCCAAGTGCAGGGAGGGAGACCAGCATCGGGGTTGGAGTGGCCTGGCTCAGCACTGACCAAACACTGGCATCTCAGCCTGGGAGAGGAGTGCAGCAAGCCAGTCAGGTTCCTGGATCAGTGGGCTTGCTGGCCTTGAGCCTGAGTGTCGAGACCGCAAACGCAGGAAATCAGCCTAGGAGCAGCACCAGGTATGGATGGTGCCAAGCTACCTCCAGGGCTTCTCAGACCTCCAAGAGCCAGAGATGAACTGTGCTGCATTTTGCCCCAATTCTTAGGATTCCTTCTCCCTACCACCGCAGTGATTGTGAAAGCTCATTTTACTTGGAGTTATTATTAAACCTCAGTTCCAGCCCTTGTTAGTGTTGTCCTTAATCCTCCACCAGGGGGAGCTTGGGTTGCAGGGCAGCCAAGTCCAGTGGGTCTCCTGACCTAACTAGAACACCGGGTCAGGCAGCGGACAGAAATGCAAGAACACAGCCCACAGCAGCAAGCTGGCCAAACTCTACTTACTGGAAACATGCCTCTACACCACTGCATGTAACAGTTTTATTAGAAATTAGTGTTTACTTCCAGCACTTATACTGAGCAACAAAGTGTTACATGATGAGGAAGACATTCTCAGGCCAGGAGGCCAGGACCCATGCCATCCTCCTTAGACCCTGGTCACACCGAACTCCATAAACCCAGTGCTGGCCAGTGTTGTTAACAGCAGGCTGCCAGATTCCTCAGAAGCTGACATGGTTTGATCTTCATCCACACTTTTTGTTTACTTCCCGTGCGCTATTTGGAGTTGAAGAAAACACATAGCCAAGAGTTTCTGCTCTCTGAATGGGGCTGGGAAACTTTCAAGGAAAAAATCCCCCACACTAAAGCCACAAAGGTTGATTAAAGATGCTAAGAGCACTTCAGTGAGTTCGATGTTAGTGTTTTCCTGAAGACCAAGGAGAGATTTTTAACCAGAGAAGAGAAACACCAGAGCCCAGACTTCTGTGCTTTCTCAGGAAGACGAGTCACTGCTGAGGATCTGAATGTCAGAGTAGTAAGTGGAGACTACGGGGGATGGGGAGGCCAAAGGGCAGGCTTGAAGAGACCTCAGTGGTGAGCTAGAAACTCAAGTATGAGAAGACTTCAAGGGCAGCTAAGAAAATAGGCCAGTGG